CCTTTCAGTCTCTGGTACACTCAGAGTTATAGAAAATCCTGAGCTTTGAGTGTAATCCTAACCATTTTATTTAGTGCATTTGTTTAAATATGCTTCTGCTTTCTATGCTGTCATTTTATATGCAGTGTTAAAATCATTTTGAGCCATTTAAAATAACCAGAAAAACTTTTGAGGTACATAATTCAATTATATTCTTCATGTCATATTAAAAAAGTCCTTACAAGTGGCCTACTAAGCACTGATCACATTTTCCCCATTATGCTGTTTTATCTAAGGAGATTTCTTTTTGCACAATATAACTTTAGTTAGTGAATCATTAATAAATATGTACAGTTCATCAGATCAGATATTTTCAAGATGCCAAGGGAAGACAGGAAGCAATCCTGAGCGATGACTTTGAGCTTATCTCCAGAGGGATTGACTGCTCAGCTTAAGGTGCTCTCCTGGTGTTGTGCCCCTCTGTCTCTATTTGAGCTAAAACTTTGATCTTTGTGTGTCTCTATGTGACTCAGATATCACGAATTTTCAATTTTCTAATTATGTAACCTTATTCCTTATAATAAATCTCACATATGTATATATTGCAAACTTGTGGCAGTATAGAGTTAGACATAGAAGATGAGTGTGGGCTTACATTGTGGTGTAATGGTAAAGCTGCCATGTGGGATGCCAGCATACCATATGGCACCAGTTCTTCAACTGCTTCACAGGTGAACCAGCTCTTTGCTAGTGGTCTGGGAAAGCAGTGGAAGATAAACCAATTATTTGGGTCTCTGCAATCCACCTGGGAGATGTTGTTGAACCTCTTGGTCTCTGATTTTGACCTGACCCAATCCTGGCTATTGAGGCCATCTGAGTAGTAATCAAGCTATTGGAAAATATGTCACTCACTGTCTTGCCCTCTCTTTGTAACTCTTTTAAGATAAATACATAAGTCCTTATGCAAAAAAGAAGATAACCTTTGTCTTATGAGTTTTTGTTAGACTGGTTACAAAACACAGTTCAAGGAACGTTGAGTAAAAACTATAAAACAGAAAGCATGCTGAATCTAAAGTGCTAGTAATGGGTTTTGAACTTATTAGAAAAAACGAACTAGTTGAATAAGAGCACTGTGACTAGATTTTATCATCTATTGATGCATGAAATGATGAATCTGGGTCTTCTATATTTTTGCTATTAGATACCTGTCTTAGTTCCATTGAATTCCATGCTATATTCCTATTATGAATTCAGAAAATATACTCTTGCATATCAGACAAAACTGTTGGCTGCTGAGGATTCACACTTAACTAAATACTTTTTTAAAGAAAAGATTTATTTATTTTTATTTAGAAGGCAGATTTTACAGAGAGAGAGAGAGAGAGAAAGAGAGAGAGAATGTCTTTCCTGGTCCACTCCCCAAACATCCACAATTGTTGGAGCTCAGTTCGTCTGAAAGCAGGAGCCGGGAACCTCTTCTGGGTTCCCCATGTGGGTACAGGTCATAAAGACTTAAACCACACTCTGCTGATTTGTCAGGCTCTAAGTAGGGAGCTGGATCAGAGCTGTAACAGGACACAGACTTATGTCCGTATGGTATGTCAGTGGCTCAGGTGGAGAGTATCCTGCTACACCACATTGCTGACCCTCAACCAAATACTTTTATAGATTAATGAATACTCTTAAAACCATTTAAAACATTTATTTGATATTTTAAAGTTCTGTTTTAAAATAATTTGTCCAGTTTGGGAATGTTTGACCCTGTAAAGCATGTTCCAACATTCTGGCCATTTTTAAAATGGTTAATCTATTTTATTTTTCCTGAGTTTTCAAGATTGCCTTTTTTTAAAGAAAAAATTGAGGATTTATCCATTTATTTGAATGGCAGAATTTCAGAGAGGACAGAGATCTCTCATCTTTTATTCACTCTCCAGTGACCACAAGCACTATGGCAGGGGCAGGATAAAGCAATCCAGGTCTATTGGGTGCATGGCAGGGGTGCAAGTACTTGGACTGTCTTCTGGTGATTCCCAGGCACATTAGTAGGGATCTGGATTGGAATTAGAACAGCTGGGACATGAGCCAGCACTCATATGGGATTCTGGCATTTAAAGTGCCACCTAAACCCAATGTGCCACTATGCCTTGAGATGAATCCCAAAGCCCATCCTGCTATCTTTAATTTCTAAATCATCTTTAAGGGGTATTTTTATAAAAAAAATCTATTTTCTCTTGATTTTGAGATGTTTAGTTCTGTCTCTTCTTGCATCAATACATTTTGGATTGATGGAAATCTTTTTAAAATTACTGTTCCCTCTGATGCACAAGTTTATGGGCTGCAGTAGGAATGGGGAGTGGACCAGTGGACAGTGTGACATTTCAGTGCATGTATACATCATGTGCTAATCAAAGCAATCAGCACTTCCCCTTATCTGATGTTATTTTATGGCTGAACACTTAGTGCTCCATCCTACTGTTCATTTGTATAATGTGGACTAGATTGTTTTGAACTACAGTCTCTACACTATGCCAACATTAGAAACTCATTTTTTTTGTTCTAACTCTTATTTGGCACTCATTATCCAAATTCCTCCCTCTTTTAGCACTTCCAGCCCATAGTAATCATGACTTGACATTCAGATTGAGTTTCCTTCAGCTAGAAAATGTGGGACATCTATCTGTGTGTCTCTCCCTCTCTGTAATGCTGCTTTTGAAGCAAAGCAATCTTTAAGAGAAAGCCCACATAATGTATCACCTCACTCTTGTTAGATTGGCTATTATAAAAAGGACAAAAAGTGAAAAATGCTCGTGATGATGTGAGATAAGAGAATTCTGGTAGTGTTGATGGGACTATGAATTCGTACAAGTGCAATGAAAATCAGTGGGGAGATTTGTTTGAAAATTAGAAATAGAATTGCTTTATGATCGCACTATTGGTTACGTATCCAAAAGATATGAATACATTCAATTCCAGGATTGATAGCTATCCTAAATAATAAGTTGTAATTGATGATGTGATTAAATAAAGACTAGAGTCAGTGAATATTTAAAGCCATTATGTTTTATACCATTACTCAGTAGTCTGAAGTCGTTAACAATCTTCTTTTATGTTTTACGCTTAACGTGAAAGCAGTGTATATGTTTTTAAAGATTTTCAAAAGTATAGTAAACAAAACCAAAGCAAAATTTTGGTTGATTTCAGATGAATATATTGTTGAATCGATTTACCTATCTTAAAATATTTTTTTGGAGCAGTTGTAGATTTGCACAAAGATTAGGATTATTGTACTGGGATTATCATTTATGCTTACATATGTTTTTTTCTGTTATCAGCATATTTTAAAAAAGATTTATTTATTTTTATTGGAAAGGTGGATATACAGATAGGAGGAGAGACAGGGAGGAAGATCTTCCATCCAAAATTTCACTCCCCAAGCGACCGCAATGGCTGGACTTGAGCCAATCCAAAGCCAGGAACCTGGATCCTCTTCCAGGTCTCCCACACGGGTGTAGGGTCCCAAGGCTTTGAGTTATCTTTGACGGCTTTCCCATGCTGCAGCCAGGGATCTGGATAGGAACTGTGGTCACCGGGATTAGAACGGTGCCCATATGGTATCCTGGCATGTTCAAGGTGAGGATTTTTACCGTTATGCTATCATACCAGGCCCTTAGTAGCATCTTATATTGGTATAGATCACTTGTTAAAGTTAATGAAACAACTCTCTTATGTCACTAGTATATTTTAATTTTCTTATTTTTTCACTAATATCATTTATTTTTCTGCTGCAGTAATCTATCCCAGATACCATATTTTACTATGGCAGATTTTTCTAAATTTCTCTTGATTTCAACATTTGTTCAGACTTTTCTTTTTTACTGGTATACTTGACTGTTCTAAAGAATAGTGGTCAGAGTTTATTGTTTCTTTTTTGAAGAGAAGAGGAAATGGTATAAATATTAATCTTGCTATTCACTCTGTTTAAGAAATATAATTTTTTTTCAGTTTAAAAGCACACTAGGTCCCAAAATCTGTTTATAAAGTTTAGTGGTGTTCTATGCTATTCTGTTCGTGTGAAGTGTGCAAAAGGGAGTAATGGACAATGGACCTGATATTTGGGCCAACAGTTTCTTTGAAATGTGCTTTTTATTTTGTAATTAATGGATTGACACTGAAGGATGTTTACCAACATAGGTTGTCATGAACATCATAGCCTTGGACAAGCTAGGTGAAATGAAAGAAGAAGACAGCAAATTGTGACTGCTTTAATCTATATAGTAAGGGATAACCGGAAACAACTTTTTTGTTGTTTTAAGAATTATTCTTGATGCCTCTTCAAGAAATGCTGTCTAACTTTCTTTGTTAAAAATGAAAATAGAGAAATTTGACTAGGTACAATTAGATGCGTTGTGAATCAAAACTATTGACATATTATTTATATTTAAATTTTGATTTTTTGGAAGATTTATTTATTTTTGAGCAAAGTCAGATATACAGAGAGGAAGAGAGACAGAGAGGAAGATCTTCCTTCTGATGATCCACTCCCCAAGCGGCTGCAATGACTGGAACTGAGCCAATCTTAAGACAGGAGCCCAGAGCCTCTTCCAGGTCTCCCATGTGTGTTTAGGGTCCCAAGGCTTTGGGCCATCCTTGACTGCTTTCTCAGGCCACAAGCAGGGAACTGGATAGGAAGTAGGACTGCCGGGTTTAGAATCGGCACCCATATGGGATCCTGGCCCAAAAAAGGTGAGGATGTTAACTGCTGGGCCCTAAATTTTTAATTTTAATATTAATTCCCTGTTTATGTATCAGTATACCATATATTGAATCACTTTGTGTTAGATACTGTGTTGATTGTTAGTTGATGATTCATGGTAAAATTATTTTATCATATGCCAGTGGTATACTTCTTGATCTTCAATAGAATAATAGAATATAAATTGTAATGTTATTGCTGTGCATTTAGACCTTAGTCTCAATGTCAAAGGTGCAACACTACATAATGCTTTATTTTATTTTTTCAGAATTATTATGGAGCTGCCAAGATCATTTTTTCTGACAACCCACTTGGTCTGACTTGCGGAATGGTGTGCCCAACCTCTGATCTTTGTGTAGGTGGATGCAACTTATGTGCCACTGAAGAGGGACCGATTAATATTGGTGGATTGCAGCAATTTGCTGCTGAGGTATGTAACGTGTATCGTGTGCCCTGCCCTTTAAGGATCTTAAGATAACTTTTACCCTAGATGCCCTATTGATAAGCAACATTTTTATTATAATGCATAGCTAAGGTATAATTATTTTCTGCAATAAGCAATATATTTATTTAACAAGTTGGCTACAAAAATTAAAGCTTATATGTCAGGTTACTTGCAGTATCAGTGGCTTCTTAAAATGCTTTAACTGAGAATAGTGTATAAATTGGATGATCTGAAAATAGAACTTACTCTTTAAATTCTCAGTGAATTTATTAAGTAGAGTTTATTATTAGAAGAGTCTTTCCTGGATATGATAGTCTGTACTAAACAGTTACTATACATCCCCTTAAATGAAAATCCATAAAACAAAATCAACAACAGGAAGTAAAACTAGACAATTACAATGCCATGAAATTAAATAATATGCTACTGAATGACCAATGTATTGCTGAAGAAATATAAGAAAACCAAAAACCTTCTTGAAACAAATGATGATACTGTGTGACCTTAAGTCAGAGACGAAATTAATAAGGAAAAAAAACCCTTTTTGAATCAGGAAAAAATATCCAGATGTGAAGGTACAAAAATGCAGTGTGCATCTCTACCTCCAAATTAAAGATGGACTCCCAATGAAATAGTTAAGTTCACAATAAGATGCTGGACTTTCTGCCTTTGTCCATGCCTCCAATGTCAGGATATACTGTAATAACAAAATGATGGACTTTTGACTGTATGAAAAACAATACTATTGTAATGATATAGGGGAAATCAGTGTGTGTGGGGGTCAGGGCATACTTACGGAGGGAGGAGGGAAATCCCAGAACATGTGGAACTGTATCATAATAAAATGAATACATTTGATTTAAAAAGGAATCTTTCCTAACCAGATTTTTTTTGTTGTTTGTTTGTTTCCTGGGATGGTCCTTAATATTTTTAATTTGAAATAATATATTAGCAGGATATTGTACTATTCTTCAGAAAATGTTCTGATCCTTGAAACTGTAACATAATTAAGAAAATTTAATTTTAGATTTTAGGAACTTATAGTATGTAACTTATGCATTTACAGGTGTGTTATTTGTAAAAATAGTAATAAAATAAATGAAAAGCTCATTTTTCATGATCTCCTCAACCAAATCCTGTCTTTTTCTTTTATTAATCCTTTGTAAAGCACTTTAAAACTTTGGGGAACCCTTGAGCGCTCTGAGGACTCCCATTTGAGGTTGTCTTGTAAGGCAATTCCCCATGTATGATTTAATTGATCATTTTATATGGAGATTATTTTAAATTATATAACTTGTAGGGACTAGTTGTCTAGAAATCCAAATTAAATGCCTGTCAACATCATGTTTTTGCTGAATGACTTATCTATATGGTTATATCAACCTAAACACATTGTAGTTTTCCTCTTAGGACTCAAACCATCATATTCCTCAAGCTTAAGTCTCACTTTTCTTTTAGTAATAAATCAGGATTATTCTTTTCCTGCTTTCTGACAGGTTAATTCTAAGAATGGGCTCATGGGAATAAAAAAATAGAAACAATTGGAGGTGATAGTTGTTGCAATAAATTCTTGGATTTAATTTCCTTTCTTCTCAAATATGAAATTGCATTAGGCTTAGCTGAACAGTTCAAGGTATGATCTTTTACAGCCCAGGAAAATCCTTATTTGATGGATAAGATACACTTGAGTTCCTCTCTATCTTCCTTTGGGGACTCGTTGCCTCTTCATCGAACTGGATGAAGCCTGTGTAGGATGCAATGAGAAGTCACACCGTATGTATAAGATACAGCACTGCATTTTCAAAACAAGATAGTTAAAGTTGTATGGCTAGTTTTGTTAATGAACAGAAAGATGGAGAGTGAATAAGAGATGGAGATAGAGTTAAAGAGAGAGAGAGAATCCACCCTTCCTTTAATCCTGTATTCATTTATTCATTTAAATTAGTTTTTACATCCTTTTTTTAAAAAAAAAATAAAGTCTGTCTGTTCTAATTTCTGCTTAATCTCACTTAAGTAAGATACAGCTTGAACTCACTGTGATATTAATGAATTTTCATAAGCTTCCAATTATGAAGTTAGTAAAAAGTAGGACAAATGTTTTTCATTAAATCAATGGATCCATAATAGAAGTATATCTTCCTCTTCCATTTTTGCCTTTATGTGGCTATCATTTTATATTAAATAATGATTAAAACTGTCCATGTTAAAACTCTTATAAGAATTTATACTTGTATTTTCAAATTTGCCAGTTGGGATAAGATCTCTACTTTTTTTTTAAATGAAAGTTTGGTTACCTTTCATTTATATATATATATACACATGAGTAACTATATAAAACGTGAGTAATGTATTATGTGAATAACTGTGAGAAAAAGAAGTAGAAGATTCAAAGAATTCCTCTTCAAAACTGCTATTGATAGTGCCCAGCACAATAGCCTAGTTGCTGAAGTCTTCACCTTGCAGGTTCCAGGATCCCATATGGGCCCTGGTTCTAATCCTAGCAGTTCCGCTTCCCATCCGGTTCTCTGCTTGTGGCTTAGGAAAGCATTTGAGAACTGCCCAAAGCCTTGGGACCCTGCACGCATGTGGGGTACTTGGAAGAGTCTCTGGGCTCCTGGCTTAGGATTGGCTCAGCTTGAGTCATTGCAGCCACTTGGGGAGTGAATCAGCGAGTGGAGGATCTTCCCCTTTGTCTCTTCTTCTTTGTATTTATCTGCCTTTCCAATGAAACTAAATAAATATTTTAAAAAATAACTTTAAAAAACTACCATTGAAGTGAGTTTTTAAGATAAAATACAATGAGTGAATAATTGTGTTTTGATTGATTTATTTTTGACCTTTTGAGAGATACAAATCCCTTTTACAAACTATTAAACAAAGGTTAGGAATGCAGACTAAATTATACAACATTTTTCCAAATTGTTTCTCCCATAACTTCTGAGTGACTTTTAAAATATCAACGCAGATTTCTGCCTTTAATAGTTAGGTTCATAGCTTATTCTTTTCCACTTGAACATGATGAAGGTGTGATTTGCAGGGACTGTGGGAAAAGGGAACAGATCACGCAGGGAGCGGCCGCAGTAGCGTGAGGAGAGCAGATGTTTTTGGATCCTGTGTTGTCGCTCTTTTCACTCTTTTGCTGTTTGCACATTTGAGGGATTGCAACCTTGTTTTAGACACTTTTGTGTGTTGATACAATACGTAGGCTGTTAAGATTTTTCTCTACAACAGTTGACATTATTTCCTCTTAATAACATCATACTTCCGCAATAATATTGTTTCAACATAATGACTCAGAAGCAGTAGTTGGCCATGAAATTTTTCATTTTCATAGAACTTATAAATTTTTATGCATAAAATTATCTTGGAAAAAATATTTTGAAAAGCATTTGTGTATTTATTTGAATTTTTGACAAGCTATATGCTCATGACTTAATAAACTAACTACACTGTCATTGCCCCTTTAGTGTAAGTATGATTTATTTGAAAAAGAAAAAAAATTATAATACATCTCTTCATTGATGGTCTGAAGTTTACAAAAATGATATTAGTAAGAAGGCAGTATGCCAATTCTGTTCTCTTCTTCTGGCATTAAAGGCTATGGAAGTGATTTAGAAAAGTCAAAAGTAAAATTTTAGGTTTCTGAAGTCTGATTAAATGTTGAAATAATGAGACAGAAAATTGATATTTTAATTATTGCTTCCATTCTGAATTGCTACACAAGCTATGAAATTCATATATAAATATGTACTTTTCACAACAAACATTGCATTATGTTTTTCTAATCTATATTGCATGTTATGTTATTGTAGCATATGCTTTATGGAATTATTTTATTTAGTTTTAGTGCTTTGTGTTAAAAATGAAAGTGGAGGTACCCGGCACAGTAGCCTAGTGGCTAAAGTCCTCGCCTTGCAACCATCAGGATCCCATATGGGTACTGGTTCTAATCCCAGTGGCTCCACTTCCCATCCAGCTCCCTACTTGTGGCCTAGGAAGGCAGTCGAGGATGGTCCAAAACCTTGGAACCCTGCACCCATGTGGGTGACCAGGAAGAGGCTCTAGGCTCCTGGCTTCGGATAGGTGCAGCTCTGGCTATTTCAGCTGCTTGGAGAGTGCATCAGCGGGTAGAGGATCTTCCTTTCTGTCTCTTCTTCTCTGTATATATCTGCCTTTCCAATAAAAAAATGAATCCTAAAAAAAATGGAAGTGGAACTGATGAAATTCCAGACTGAATCAAGTGACTCTTTTGACCTGGATTTTATTTCTTAGAAGGCTTTAAAATATCATCTCATTTGACATACTGTGTTCTTGTCCTATTAGTAAATACCATTGCAGTAGTGAAAAACTATTTTTCATGTAATTAATAATATTTATTTTGTTTTATTTGCTTCAAGGTAAACTTGTATTATAGATAAAATACTGAGTAATTGCTGAAGCTAGTCCGTTTTATGAAACTAATGAGAACAAATACTTCAAATATCATTATAAACTTTAGTGAACTTAAGAAGTAACAGATTGACTGCATGTTAAAATTAATAGATAAGTAAATGCACAAAATAAAATTAAGAAGGCATATATATTCACATTATTAAAATTGCAATCTACTCTTCATTAGCTTTTGTCCCTTGATTTGGAGGAAATTAGACCATAGTAGAAAAGAAAGTGTCAGTGTAGGGTGAGATATAGAATTGCAATGCACAGCGCATGAAAAGCACTTCAATGCAATTTATAATGTTCCACTCTAAAATGTTGATGAATAACCCTTAAGGCATATTTTAATTTGAAATCCTAAAGCCTAAGATTTTTTTATAGCTTTTATAGAAATAAATTTGGGAATGAGCTTAGCACATTTATGGTGCAGTTTGTTAAAATGGTCAATAAAAATCTATCAATTCATATGCCTAATCTGAAATTAAGACACATTATCATGATAATGAATACTAAGCCAATATTTATAGATAATATCTTTTTCAGGTTGATAG